TAGCATGCTGCCGAACACAACCTTAGCCAAATTCATTATCAAGTTTTGCCAGAAAATCAAATACTTTGCTCTACAATTTTTTTAATGATCACTAATCCTCAAAGTAGGACATCTTGAGATTTTGGTACTAGTCCAACTTGAACCAATAAATTAAACATCCATGAAGTTAAAGTAACACAACCTTAGTCAAATTCATTATCAAGTTTTGCCATAAAATACTTTGCTCTACAATTTTTTCAAGGATCACTAATCCTCAAAGTAGGACAACTTGAGATCTTGGTACTAGTCCAACTTGAACCAATAAATTAAACATCCATGAAGTTAAAAGTATTCAATGTCATGAATATTACCTTGTTTGGTAGTGGTGTGTTTTGTCCTAATTTTATAAATAGGTATTGTATTTTTCACCTTTGAGTATATTTGTTTAACTGCATCCCAAATCTCTTTTGACGGTGAAGAGGAGAATATAAAAGGCCCACTAATCTCCAACAGCCATGGTGTTCGACAACCATTTATAATCATGGAATCAATTTCTTCCCAAAGCAAGAATTTTGGGTCTTTGAACTTCGGAGGTAGATACATAAGTTATTGAATTGTTTCCTTTTTCTTTAGAAAGGTTTTTACAATTTGTAACTATTTAAAATAATTTTTTTTTCATTCAAGCGATAAGATGCTTGAAATACCTGAAATTCTCTTTTTTAATCAAATTAGAAGTGAAAACCTTAACATTAGATAATAAGAACAAATGTTGAAAATAATATCCTAACATTTCTTTGATATCATGTAAAAAAAATAATGTAAATAACTTTCAAGAATCTTATTTCGTCATTTGTACAAGAGATATATACATATAAATAAAAAATAGAGAAAAATAATTAGGGTGTCGACAATCATATAGGAAAGCACGTGTATTGTAATCCAAGACTCGGAAACATACCGAACGGTATAAAGCATTGATCCGACGATCTTATAGGGAAACACGGATTGTAATCGGAGGGTCATAGAGAAACAAATCCAACGATACATAACTTTGATCCATATGTCTTAGATTTTTTGCTATGATTGAATTAGCACAATTTTAACAGATTCATGTTTTTATTTTATTGATTGTTATATCAAACCTCGCATTATTTATTGAGCAATTATTCCCACTATTGTTGTTAGCATCCTATTTACGAAAAAGATAGAGAGAATCAATTAAGTTAAAAGCAGGGTTCATAACTTATGTTTTCGTGCTATCAAGCAAGCTTAGTGGAGAGTTTATTTATTTTTTTTAAAAGTTATATATGATTTAAGCATGGGTGTAATATTATGGTAGATCCATTCTAAATAACATATAAGACTTCATATATTTCTAACTAATAATGGGTGATAAGATCCTATTTCTATAGAAAATGGTCTTTGGTGTTACAAAGGTTAAATACACTATACTCGTGTTAACTGCTTATAAAATTAATATATTTGAAATTCTACCTGACTCTCCATATGGCCTACTTTATAAGATATGCTACAATGTAATGGCTATGTAGCTCAAGTTGTGACACTTGAACTCTTTGAAATGGGTCCACTGAATAATACTTTTAAAGATGGTATCATGAGATTTTGATAGAGTTTAACAACTCCTCACATCCAAATCCAAAGCACATAAATATTTGAAATTTCATCATCATGAAGCAAATGATCGCAAGCTTGGATCTAGCAATTTTCTTATTAAGAGCACTCTTCTGGTGGGGATGGATAATTATCCATGGAGGATTGTGCCTATATGAAGTTTCAATCCCCGCATCAAAATGAATCTAAATATTTGCATCAAGAAGATATTGGTAATAAATCTATCTTTTGGAAACATATCTAAAATTCATTGACAGAGGGCACAATGGAGTTTAAAGAGGACCTAATTCTACTTGCTTCAGCACATATAAAAAGAAATTTAATTGGAACTTCTAAAGAATTAATTGTACTATGACAAATCACTTTGGCATTTATATACCACCAAAAGGCTCCTATGAACATGGCTAAAAAGATATGCTAGTGTTTGAACACTAAAAATAACTGTACATAACTAGAAGGGAATTGTAGCCCAACCTTGTGCAAAAAATGTGTTACGTCATTAAGAGATTGTTTGTTTGAGATAACATAGCGTAAGAGGCTGTTTGGTTTGCTTAAAAAAATAATAATAATAAAATGGAGTATAAAATAAAAGCATATGAATTTAAAATGTTTTAAAGCTATTTGGTTAATTGTAAAATACAAAGGATTATTTTTTTACATCTGGTATGAAATAAATTAAATTGAATGTATAGCTTAGTGGCAACGGTTGCTGGTAAAGGCGGTGCTGGCGGAACAATAGGTCATATAAAGTTGGCGACCGAGCATTGAGCGGAGGCCAGCGGTGGTGAGGTTGACTAGGCAATGGGCAATGGTCACCATGAGAGGTGAAATTTGGCAACACAATGGAGGGTAATGATTGCGGCAATAGATAAGGACGACAATGATGGATGAAGAAAATACTTAGCAATGGTAGTGGCAGACACTAGCAATGGCCCACGATGGCGGCTAGTGAAAGCAATAGTGGTGGCCACTAGTGGTAACTTTTAGTGTATTTGAAAATTGGGCAAAATCAACCGATTTTGGAATACACTAAAAAAACACGAGTGAATTTCAAATTCCTCAAAATTTTAATTTAAATTTAGTTTTCAACAAACAAAACATCTATAATTCTAAAACTCCTATATTTTGAATATTTACCAACCAAGCCACTTCAAATTAAATAACCCCTAACAAAAAAAAGCTTTGCATGCTTTTTAAATTTGATTATTTGACATACATAAAACTAGTGTAAAATAAACTTTTATGACTTTCAAATGTTTAAAAATCTAAATTTTTCAGGCAAAATAAATGCGACGAAATTTGTTGTATCTAATTTAATTCACAACAACAATTCAATGATGCAACTCGACAACTGAAAGTGGTCGCATCTCTCCATGACAACGACCATCAAATAGAGAACTCATAGAGGTCACATTTGTATAATCGTGAAGGTAGCAATCTCACCTCATAGAAAGAATATAGAAGAAGAATAAAAAACTAATTAGAGGGTGCAAAAATTGCACATTTGATGAGGGGTTAAATCCATCAATCATTGTATCGCTAAAAATTTTCTTCTATAGTAAAATTTCCTAATAGTGTGATGTTTCTATTATATTCAAAGTCCTCCCATCCAATAGAATTCTAAAATTATTGCTGTCATTTTCATCTCTCCAAATAATATTTCTCCTTGTTTGTGCTCAGTGCTCACTTTTGAGAGCTTGGTTTGTAACTGTTGTGAAACATGCTCTTCTAATCAATTAAAATTTCTAGTACTCTGTGTCTTTTGTAGCAATCTTCTACCCTCATGGTAAAACTTTTTCAAATTTTTACTTCTACTATGTTAACATATCTTCGTTTTGTGCCAATGTATGTGTCATGTATGCATAAACTCTGATTTTTAAATAGCAATAGGCTATGAATTCTCTTAATCAATTTAGGTTAAGTTTCAATCAAACAGATGATAACAATTAGATTCAGTCCTTGATCCAGAGGTTATCTAGTGAGAATCTAACCAATATTTAAAATTGTGTAATAAGATATGCATCTTAAGATACATTTCAGATAGATGTGCATGAAAAGAAAAATGACACTATAGTCTCAAGTTGGGAAAAGGATATCTACACCTAAAAAAAGTATGGTTTGAATCAAGGTGATCTTTGAAGCATATTTAGATAAGCAAATTCTTAATCTAATCATTATAAAATAACGCCAAGAACATCAACAAAAAAACAAACGATTAAAAACGAAACATGCATCATTGCTATGTGGGTGAATAGGAGTACCAGTAATTAAAACTAAAAATCACTTGGCTGCCTTAAGAATGAATTCATTGATTTACATGATGTGTAACAATAGATTTAAGCATAAACATTAGAGGAAGAAATTTTTGGAAGATGATGAATCCCTCTATAATTTATGTTATTCAATTGTTGCATAATTTCTAGAGGATGGAAATGGAGTTTCACTACCACAATTATATGGGGAAGACTTTAATGATTACTTTTTTGATAGAGGAATGAGCAAAGTGGTAGAAATCAACAAGTAAATAATAAAAATGTAAGTATAAATTTTGTGTAATATAAAATATAGAAGTTCAACAAAATCATTGTAATATATAATATTTTTATTGAATTTTATTGATCAAAGACAACAGATGTAATTGAGATTGAAAACGGTGGAAATTGGGATAAAGTTGATATAAGTGAGGATTAGAGAGAGGCAAAAAAGCAATTAACTGTGACAATTCTTCTAATGAAGAACCAACATGTGATTGAATTGAGTAAATATAGAACTCGTAATTCAAAGTCATAATTAGTTTATTTTAGGACATGCTTAATAATTTTTTTTTTATTTATGTTTAATTATTTATATTAGACTTATTGCATATATAGTGCTTGTATGACTTTGAAAGATGGTGCCTTATGATTTAAACATATTGCTCCTAAACGCTTTCTTTTCATATTTTTTTAATTTTTTAAATGATTTTATTTTGAGTTTTACGCCTTATCTCACAAAAATAAAATACTTCAATATCATATTATGCAATTTAAACCTTGTATTAAACAAAACTATTAGAAGCAATCCAAGTACTACAGTCCCTATGGTTAAATGGAAATTTTAAATTGATGGCAGAGCACACTTGCTCTGGGGGTAATTTACTGTAATATTTTTTAAAAGTGTCAGATTTCAAATTTTAAAATATGCTGAACAGGAAAACAACCAAATCTCAATTACTTTACATTCTTAATAAAATGTATTTTAGTTGCAAGAAATAAACTGCCCCTTAGTAAATAAGATAAACTAAATACTAACAAAACTGCTCCTTAGTACAAAACATAAACTAACAATGAAGATAAAACTAAACGTCAACTAAAAGGAGCTTGAAAAAAAAAGTGACAGAAAACGCTAACCTTTTTTTTCAGTCTTAAATCTCCTCCCAAATTCGTCTTCTGACTGCAAATTCCGGAATCCTATCAGTCAGATGTGCAGCAAAAAAAATACAATGCTTACATCCGGGATAACAGATATTACCTTACAAATGTTCAACTTCGCTAGCAGTTGTTTATCAACAATGTCATCATTGCTCACTGACGTTTCTCTACAATAACATATTCAGAAGCAAAGTTCAACATACAGCAAAAAACATCAAGAAAATGCATAGAGAAGTTTTATTCCAACAATAGAAAGTACGTTTTCGCAACAGCTGGCCTTGGTAGTTTCCGAACAGGAATCTTAGGCGCAAATTTCGACTGCAGAAATTTGCAAGACGGGTATGAGAATAGATAAGGACAACCAAGCACCAACAGCCTGCAAAGGCCATGATGCAGTCTAAATGACAGAAATTATACCGTTCTTGGTGGAGGATCCGAACCAATGCCTAATTTATTCTTCATTTTTCTTTCTAAGCAATCTAATAGAATAATACTCAAGAAGTAGTTAGGTGAAACACATAATCGCCCAAGGTTTACAAGAAAACCTAAGAACCCTAAGGAACTGTATGGTAAAAAATTGGAGCAGGATTTAAGCTGATTCCTGAAAGATAGCCATTTTGGACAAGTTAAATCCTCGGATTGACTCCGGATTTAGTAAGTCCGGCTATTCCGCAGATTTAGTAAATCGGGGAACGCTCGAAGTCTGGGGTAGGAGTGAAGGAGGAGAAAGATGGCTTTAATCGCGAAATCGCGAGGGTAATTCTGTAATAATCTTCCTCCAACTAATCCAAAATAATATCGCAAAGCTTATTAGGGTTAAGGGCTTATGGTTATTTCTAGTTTATTTTGGAGTTATTGAATTTGAATATATATTTTCTCTTCAATAAATTAGAATAACCCAAAAAAAACTTAAAAATAACCTCCTCAGCGTTATTGTGCGGTCATTGAAGTGGAACTACGGAGGTTATTTCTGGGTTATTGAAGTAAAATATATAAGTTCTTCTTCAATAACCTAGAAATAACTTCTGTGTTTTCACTTTAACAATCATGAAATAACTTCTGCGATGTAACACAGTGGCGACATATTATTGGAGTCCGCACGTAGAGCTAAATTAGGAGTCCGCACGTAGAGCTAAATTAGGAGTCCCGACTTAAAATTTTTTCTTTTTATAAAAAAAATTATTTTCCTTATATATGTGTGTGTGTAATATATTTGATTAATTGTACTTTTTAAAATAATTTTAATATAATAATAGAAAGAGATCATGTTACACAAATAATTTCATTATAGTGTAAAATATTATAATATGTAAAAAAAAAATAACTAGTCATGACAACCAAATAATCAGCAAGCCTAGAATGACATTCGTTTTTATGTCATGATGATCGAGTCTTCAGAATAATCCTCTCCCCGTAGCGTCATCCCTCCTAACCCGATCATTGTCTGAAGCGAAGTCATTCATGTCATCAACCCAATGAAAATAATTACAATCTTCTGATAACTTGTTTCTAAGACAACAATAAATTCTCCTCTCGTAAATGTCATCCATTCTTGATTAGGTGATAGTTCTACCAACTACTCATACACACTTCAATTAATTTTAATGTTAAAAACCTACCTAACTTAATTGGATTGGTGATTATCGAGATATAAAGGTAACCCCTATCTTGTGAAGATATAAGTGATTGTGTAGAAATAGATACTACAAATTGTAAATGTGGCTAGTGACAAATAGGAGCAATCCTCTACTTTACCCTCTCTTAAGTGCATAAAGTAGTTTGGTTAAACTGCTTTTAATTTGTTAAACTCTAACTTGAACCCAACAATGCCTATTTCCCTATCTATTTGCATCCTTTTATGGACAACTTTTCCTTCACCCACTAGTTCGATGTAAATACTCTAATCGTTCCTTCACTGTTCTTCCGGGTCAAAACGGATCACAACAAATTTTAATAATTAATATGACTAGTACAAAAAGTAAATTAAGGTTTAAAGAATACTCATCACATTAATGTTTAAAGATAATATCTATAAGCATCCCAACATCCTACACATTCAACTTATACATCATAAGAGAAAGGTAAGAAAAATATACTCACAATGCATAAAGAAACACCACAAATCATCATCTTATAACAAAGTAAATCCACTAGAATTGTGTTTACAAATAGTGCAAGACAATATAAAACACAATACTTAGCTTTTTCTCTGAGAAAAGAAATGAAAATTCCTCCCCAAAAGGTTTCCAAGTGCTCCCTGCAATGCTGAGTGTATCCCCTTATAGAATTCTCTCACATTCCTCTCCAATCTCTTTAATAAAGTGTAAAATACCAAACCCTAACTTTACACTACGACTCCTATGCCTTCTTTCACTTTACAAGGCTTCAAAATCCTCTTTAATGCTCCTTTGAACTGCTTAAATCCCTATAACTCCCTAAGTCATGCTGCAACAACTGCAAAAAACAACCCTAGAACTGGCTAGCACTGTGCCTAGGCGTCAGCCTCTCGGCTTGCCTAACTAGGTTCTGGCACTTAGGGACCACTAAGCAAGCTCTAAAGCTCTTGGGTGGAGTGCCTTAACGCTAGTATGATAATTCTAATATGCTCTGTTTCACCTTCGCTTTGTTTCATTTTAGCTCTGATTCACTCCATATGTCTGACATGTTGTACCTGTAAGAAAAACACAAATACTTTTATTTAAAGTGCAATTTCATCCATAAATATGTGCAAAAAGTAAAGAAAATTAAGCATACCTTAGAACATATCAATTACCATAGATTTACTTTGCATTTTATTAGGGTGTGATAACTCTATTTTGTAGAGTCAGACGTTTAAAACCTTGAGTAAGAAGATGAATCTCAACTAAACCATCAACAACAAAACAAAACTCTAGGATAGTTCATAATCATTAGGAACCTGCTACCCTTAGGATAGGACTTCAACATTCCTTTTCTTGACAGTGATATTTGAACTTTTTGACAACCAATTATAACCTTATTTGATAATTTTCTTAAGTAGTCTTCACTACTTAAGATGTAATTAACTATAGGGACTTGTCCTTATAACATATACAAACTCTAGAACAGGTACATCAACTTGAATTCCATGGTAGTTAGTTTTCCTAAGGCCTCCTTCACAGTTTTGTTTTTAAAGCATACCGAGTTGATCTCACTTTGGGCTTATGCTTTAGAATTATCAATGTGAAAATTCACTTTATGAAGGATGTTTGAATAGTTATTTTGTTTATTCCCGTTATTGTCTGCCTTAGTCCTCCAATTTCTTAACTCTTTGTTTACCTATTTGATCTAAGATGGAGAATTATTTGAAGAAGAGGGCAAAATAATATAAAACAATCTTGTGACACCTCAACAGCGATGACGACATCAAGAAAACAATGAAATGAAGATAACAACACAAAAAGAGGTGCCACAGGGTCCTAATAGCTTGGGATGACGGACCTGCGGTATTTGATACACCAAAAATATATGCATTTTTAGACCCATATTTTATACCTATTTTTAATGATATTGCACTTTAATGGAAGGTATTTTGATGTTTTCTTGCAAGTTATTGATTTTTAGGGCTTAAAGTAAAAAGAAAGCAAAAAAGGATGAAATTTGGAGTCAAAATGATGTTTTTGAATAAATGCTCAACGTCGGCAGCGCCGACGGCGCAGAACAAATTAACACGGAGATTTTTTACTAAGCGTCGATGGCGCCAAAGGCGGTGCAGACCCCGTTTTTAGAAGGTTTGATGTATTTGTACGTTTTTTCAAGAGTTATTTGTACGCTTTTTCAAGAGTTTTTGGAGGCACCTCTTGGAGAACCGACCTTCGGCTCTATTTGGGGCCAAATTTCATAAAAAAAAAGCGCTCCTCTACGCTTTTCACTCATCTACTTTCATTTTTTGCACCACATAATTCCATTCCACTTCATATTTGAGTCAATTAGTGATTTGGTTTTCATAATTTAGAGTTTTTGTGGTGAAATTTAGTGTGAAACTTTCTGTAAGAGTGTTGGAGAAAGAGAAAAGTGAGAGATATATTCTTCCTGCATTTCTAAGGAAAGGCTACAATGGATTTTCTTTGAGAAAGAGTTTTTCAGATAAGTATTGTTTGTTCATCAATGTTGTATGAACTTGCTTTTATATATAAAATTTGTGTTTAATTATTTTTTTCTCATGAAATCTGAGTAGTTCCCTCTATCTTTCTCCCTACTTTGAGATATGATGAAATGAAGAGATAATATGAATGTGTCAATATTACATTGTAAAATAAATTGTGATGATTTTTCAACTCCAAACTTAATTTACTTTTCGATCTGGCCAATTAAATTGTTAAAATGTGTTGTGAAACATATGTTCCGGGAAATGGAGTATGAGTTCTACAACAGAGTAAGGATCACATTTGATTCCATGAAGGAGAACATCGTTTATGGAATTAAGTGCAAATAAATAGGAAAATATTCTTTGTTGGCTGTAGAATTAGAAAACTTTTAGGGTGATAGATTAAAATCTTCAATTCAGTCTTAGTGTTGAAAAAATGAAGTGAGAGCTAGCCTTCAGGTGATGGGAAGTGGGAGCTCTAGAGTGGGAGTCGGTATCCTCCTAGCCTAGCCACGAATTTAGGGACTAAACACTGAGATTAGTTAATGATTTTCTATGCATTGTATCAGGGTAGAGAATTAAAATTGCTCCTATTTGGCACAATACATCTTATGAACATTTATCTCATCTCATTTTACCATAGCCTCATTGTAGTGGGAATGATGTTTTTTTCACATAAGAATCTCTGTTACATAAACATAGCCAATAGATTAGTATTTACTATTTTAAATTTTGAATATTTGATTTAATAATAGTTTAGACATTTAATTTTAAAAACATCTCAACAATTGAAATTAGTGACAGTGATTTCAATTGACTTTTTGTGAATTTTCTAGCAAATTTATCATTTTTAATTTAAACCTTCCCCCTATGATCAATATTTGGGGCTTAAATAAAAAGTCCATTAAATAGAATTCCATTATTACTTGATAATGATATATATACTTACGTAGAATCAGAATATTAATTGATTATATTTAATTAAAATTTACACAAATCTATCACAACAAAAAGTCGGATCAAGTTTTTGGTGTCGTTCCGTGGGGAAGGTAACGGTTGAACTAAATAGTTTTGATAAATTAGAAAATTTAGAGATAATATATATACCATAAAAATTGTTATTATAAAAAACAAATTTAAAATAAAAAATCCAAAAAGAAATATTTTTATTAGAGTATTTTACTTTGCTTGCTTTATTTGTTTATGCAAAATATTGGATCTGAAGGTTTAATACCTTACGATTCAGGATTAGAACGTACTATTAGAAAAATTCGAAAACAATAAAGAGAAATTAAAAATTTACGAGAAATGGCGAATAACTTAGATAATCCAACAAATGAAAATCGGTGCAAATAAATAGGAAAATATTCTTTGTTGGCTGTAGAATTAGAAAACTTTTAGGGTGATAGATTAAAATCTTCAATTCAGTCTTAGTGTTGAAAAAATGAAGTGAGAGCTAGCCTTCAGGTGATAGGAAGTGGGAGCTCTGGAGTGGGAACCAGTATCCTCCTAGCCTAGCCATGGATTTAGGGACTAAACCTAGGATTACCTAATGATTTTCTATGCACTGTATCAGGGTAGAGAATTATAATTGCTCCTATTTGGCACAATACATACTATAAACATTTATCTCATATCATTG